TTTGGAATTTTGTCTCAAGAGGTTTGTTCCTTACACAATCGTCTGATCCCTTTTTTAATTGTTAGCGACTACCTGCGCGAAACATGTTCTAAAATACATTTTTACATAAAAATGCCTATCAATCTCCCTTAATGAAAACAATGTTTGGTTTGAATGGAAGAAATTACTCAAAACCTTAATGATGATAATAACTTTTTGTAAAGGACCCCAAAACCAAAACAAATCAATGCATAATAGTTTAAAAATTTTCAAATAAATATGCTCATGATGTAATTACATTTACAAAACAAAAGGCTATAAGAGTAAAATATAAATAATTTGTAATTGTTAACCTCTCAAAATGGATGAAAAATGTAATAAAAATGTCTTCTTGATCAATAAAAATGAAGAAGATGGAGAAAAGTTAGGGTTTGTAGTTTATATTTCATTTTTAAATTTTTTTTACCCTTTTTTATTGACAAAAATTCATATTAATCAATAAAATATACATTTATCCATATTTTATATATAGAAATCAAATCATCACATCAACTCAATCATTTTCCTTCAAATCAAGCATTAAATCAAGCATTTTTGCTCATATAAAGTGAAAATGACAAATTTTTTGGAACTTTCATTTTTCGTGACATTTTTGTAAATTCACCTTTATTTTTTTTGTGGTGTTTGGGTGGTGGTGGTGCGGTAGTCTTGGCTGGGATGGAATGGAGTGTGAGTGCTTGCAACCAATTATTTGGTTGATTTTGTGACTAGTAAATAATATATGACTTAGAAATGTGATCGCGACTCACAATTTATTATATTATGACTAGAAAATTAATAGTGACTAATTAATTTGATAATTTGTGACCGTTAAATAAATTATGACTTGTAAAATTTGTTATATGCAATCGATAAATAATTTGTTATTTATAAAATTTTCGATACTATAATTGACGAATAAATTGTGATATATGTTATAAAATGAAAGGAAAAGAGAATAAAGAAAATTCAATAAACCCTTTATGTGTATTATTGAAAACCAAAACCCTATTTTTATAGGTAAGAATCAGGGATACAATGGTAATAATTTTTAGGGTTACAAGGGTACAAATGTCATTCACCAATAAAATTTAATGGACTTTCCATTTGCAACAATATATAAAATTTTTGATTTGTAACTGGATAATAATTTATGAACAATTAATTTGATAATATGTGATCGAAAATATCTTGTGACCCATAAATAGTATAATTGTGATCTTAAAATCTTTAATTAATATATGATTTTTGAAGTTTTAAACTTGTTTCTTATTTTTGAAATGGGTCATAATTAATTTCTTAGATATGTAATTTTTCCCTTATCTTTTCAATTAAAGCTTATTTCTTAAGTTCTTAAATTAGGTTATTCAAATGATGGTGGTCAAATGTTATAAAAGGTTTAGCATGGTCTAATTGAACACTAGTTGATCTTCCAATGAGATTGTTAAAATTCGATCTTACAATGAGGAAAGACATGGAAATGAAAAGAAATATTTTTAGTTTTGTATTTAAATCAGATGAAATTATGTAAAATAAATTATTATTATTATTTTCTATTCATTCATATCAAAATAACTATGTTTCCATTCATTTTCTATGTCAAAGAGTATCTATGATATGCTAACCAAAGAAATTTGGAGATTAACCGCTAATAAATTATATCACTATTTAATTTCGTCTAACTTCATTTAGATAAGTAAACAAATAAGGAGTAATACCAGTTTCTGTTCTAATCCGCTAAGTGTAAACCTATAATGGTTTATCTATGTTCGAGCGGCTTACCAAGGGAAACACCCCTATCCACGCCTTGATTGACCGTGTGGGATAGCTCATGGACTAAGGGTGGCTCGTTACAATCTATTTGATGCTTCTAATTCACGTGTTTTACCTTCTCATTTACTTTTAAGCTCATTTACAATCAAACCGCGCACTGCCACGATCGCCGCTGCCACTACCACCTCCCCCCCCCCCCCCCCCCCCCCCCCCCCAACACCCCCACCACCAACACACAATGTCACAATTGATTTATTGGTCACATATTATTGAATTAATTAGTCACAAATTATTTCGAGGTCACAAATCAAAAATTGTATAGGTCACAATTTATTTCGAAGTCACAAATCGAAAATTGTATTGGTCACAATTTATTTCATCGGTCACAAATCAAAAAAAATTATAGGTCACAGTTCATTTGTCGATCATAATTAATTGATCACAAATTAATTTTTAGTCACGTGTTATCAAATTTTTAGGTCACAATTGAGTAATTAGTCTCAGATGACCAAATAATTGATCACAAATCATCACCACCAACATTACCGTCAATTGTGACCACCCTCTCCTTGTAACTGTCGTTGCTACCACCACTACCACTACCGTGCTACCGCTAGATCCACCATCCCCGCCAACATTTCTACTTGCACAACTAACAAAAACCACATAAAACCCTCCAAACAACACCAAATCGACCTCCAAACCACTGCCAAATTCAATAAAACACAATCAAACCGCGCACTGCCACGATCGCCGCTGCCACTACCACCTCCCCCCCCCAAAACATCATCCAAATCCATCTCAATTGTCAAATCCACAGCCACGAAAACTGCCGCCATACAAATACCATCAAAACCAACGCCAACCGCCAAAACCACCACCACAAACACCACAAAACTCCATCGAAACCCAAAAAATCACCACCACACCAAACCGCTTCGACTTCACGCTGGTGACGTGCTTCGCTTGTGAAGAGTCGTCGGAGTGGGTAGTCTTCTTCGAGGTATGAGTTCAGTGTTTGCTTGTTTGATGTGTTTTGCTTCGCACTTGATGGATCTGCTTCTTTGAACTCACAGTAATCCACCATCCAAAACCCTAAAATCGCACTGGTGGTCTACTTCGCGCTTGGTTAAACTGTTCACCGTGTTAAGCCGTCGTCACTGTGAGTTCGATGGTGGATTATTTCTGTAGGCGATGGTCCACCGTCCACCATCCAAAACCACAAAGCGTGCTGGCGTTCTGCTTCACCGTGTCCATGCCGTCGTTGCTGTGAGTTCAACGATGGATTGTTAACTTGGGCGACGGTCTTCGACAGTGGGCGGCAACGACGGAGGTGTCGATTGAGTGGAGAGAGTGAAGAGAGAAGATGAACAGATGTGAATTTAGGGATTGGAATTAGATTAATGGGTTGATATATTTTATTATTAATATTAATAGTTAAATCAATACTTGAATTTTGAACAAAAAATCTTCCCCCTTGATTTCTGCATTGTGATCTTTAAGTGTCTGTGATTTTGTAATTTCCACTAATTTATATAAGCATCTTCTAGAAGTGATGATTTTCCTATTAATGCCTATCTCTGTCTAGACAAATTGTGTCTATTCAAGATTCAACTGGTTAGCAACTGTGTATTTTGGACACAATCTTTCAATATCTATAAATTGACTCTCATATGTTGGATTTCCTAAAATCAATTCAATTCTCTAGTGCAAAAATATTATTCCTTTCTTTGATACACTATTCCGAATTTTGCATTTCAATTTCGAATATTATTTTCTTGCATTTTTTTAGTTCTCTCCCGGTTTAAAAAGACCAAAACATTAGTAAATTCATCAAATACTATAATTTGGAATACTACCATTATAAATCAATGTCGTTATATCTTCTAAAAAGAGTGCCACAAAATCGTCAGCACCTATACGAGACGTTGTCGTTTTAAGGAAAAAAGTTGAACTCTTGTTTTGGCCATATTAATTTTTGCTTTATTCCTTTCATTTAGCTAGTCAAAACTCTATCCCATTCTTCATTTAATAAAATGATTATTTATTGAATTATAATTTTGCATGATAAATTCATTATATTACATTGTTTTCAAACATAATCTACTCCTAAATTATAGGTGTAATTGAACCACTTTGAAATTCTAGAATCGAATCTAAACAGAAAATCTTTTGATACTTACCGCCATTATCATACATATAATTTTTATAGTGATGGATTAAGACACGACATGAATAGATAACATATTTCAATCGAAGTGGTTGAATATGATTGATGCCCTTTTTCAAAACCTAAAACTTTGTGATTCCAATTTTTTTCTTTAAATAAAAAATTGGTGAATTGGAGTGGAAGATTCGAATTCATTATCATGTTCCACTTGTAAGATTTAAAGTGCTGTTGAGATGATTTAGGTTTGATTCGGCTTTTGCAATTGGATCTCTCTGTACATTTTCCTTCCCGTTGGATACTTTGGAGCACGGATATCTAACAAGATTCTATTTCATTCTTGCACGAAAGACTAATTGAGAAGTTAATTTTGTATTCGTAAACAAGAAACAAGAAATCAAGTTGCATGTATCAACCATTTCCAATGTAATAACTTTCAAATTTATGCTTGTGATGCAATATTATTGGACAATCATAGTTATGCTCTTGCAAGTGAAGTGTGTATAGTCAACTTATAAGCACTTAAAAGCATGCCCAACATCCCCGTCAGCACGTTTGGCAAACCTCATTTTTATTGAGAAGTATCATTCTTTTTTTGTTAGATAATGTGTGGTTGGCAAACAAGGATTGATCTTGTATGAACTCAAGCACTGGCCGCCAACTAAGAAAAGTTGCTTTTGTAAACCTTTTTGTGCAATAGTCCATCGGTAACAGTCTCAAAAGTGCATGATAAATACTACCAAAGTCCAATACTACAAAGGAAATCAAATGAAGTACTCTAGATACTAAGTATGAAAAGATGTCGATAACTTCCTTCTAGGACCTAACGAATCTAAGAGAAACATCATTCTTGTCAAGATTGCATGTTTTTTTTTTTTTTTCAAGTTACTCAACGTGCTATAAATTAGAAAGAAGGGTCTTTGGACAACAAGTCAATAATATACTACATTCATTTATATAACTGTATAATTAAGAGGTGAGGCATGGTGTGTGTTGTATATGTAAAGGAGAAAGGTTCACTGCGCGTTGCATTCACGTATTATATATATGTCTCTTTCTGGATATTGATTCTTATTTCTATACGCAAGTAACGTAACTCCCCACACCAACAATCTTACCTTCTCTCTCTCTCTCTCTCTCTACTTCTTCATAGGCACAGGCACAGTGGCAGAATCTGAGTGATCCTAAATCTGCCTTGTATTCTACTTCACAAATTCAAAAGAATTTGAACTCAGCAACTCTCAACCTGGCGCTGTTTATCTTCATTGGGTAACTATCTTTTACTCCTGCGCAAAATATTGTTTATTTATCTGCCTACAGTCTTTTCAGATTTTAAGGATCTATGTTCCCATGTTTTTCCTTAATTTACCCGAAGTTTGCTCAAATCAAGATTTACGTTCAAAAGAGTAAATTTCTTAAGAGTTTTCAAACCTACTCAGATTTCCTTTTCTCCCCGAGCACGTGTTTCTTTAATTCTCTTCGTATGGGTCTTTCTTATAAAAAATATTCGTACGTAACCTCGACTAAAAGTTTAAATTTTACTGCACTACACATTATTTGACTTTAGTCCTACCATGCTGACGAGAACGCAAAACCTTCGTAGGTGTGGAAGTGAAATTAGCGTCCTTGAAAAATGATTCTCGAAAATAACTTTATTGTAATGAATTGATCATTAAAATACCTACAAAATCTAATCACCTAATCCCGATAGCTTAAGAATATGAGTAATTAAAAGCTAACAGAAAAAGTAATCAAAAATCATAAAAGTCTTCATCTAAACAAGAAATAAAATCGTAACAAATAATTCCATGTGTCCTAATTGTCATAGAATTGTCCGATTCTATTACATAAACTCAAGACTTTTAAGGTTAGAGAGGCACGTTTACATTTCTTTCGAATTTATCTTTGACAACTTTCTGGGACATGCAGGAATATATATGGTGAAGCTTCTGGAAAAAAATTGCTCAGTTTTTCACTCTGGCCGACCCTCTTCCGGTAAAATCGTTTGGCTTCTTGAAATGGGCTAGTGCTGAAACAAGAGAACACCACATCCAAATTTCACTTCTCGATTCTACTTATTCGCATTCATCGGATTCTACTGTGTCATTGCTTTGGCGACTGCCTATTGGTTATAGCTAAGATTTCCATTATCTAAAATTGTTCTTTCCATAATCTGCAAAGAGCCCTGATTTCTTGGGTTGAATTTGAAGTTATTCAGAAGTGCATCGATATTCAGAATGGCCTTTCTTAATTGTTTTTGCTCTTCGTGGAGGAAAAAGAAAAAGAATGTAAGAATGATCTGATCAATTCATCTATTTTCATTTTCTTTGAATTATTTCAACCCTTTCATAGTTATTTCTTCTATTTATGCTCACGTTTTGATCTCAATTGCATATGTGCTTGTAGAAGGAGAAGGAAGTCAAAACCATGCACGTGAAGCTCGAGCATGGCACGAAAACTTCACAGGATTACGAGTTGAAATCAACTTCTTTCAGGGTTCCGGTTCCTCTCCATATTCCGAGGAGTTCTAGGTGCACAGTTAAGGTGATGAATAACGAGAGTTCGGTTGGGGGTGATGATGAAGAGATAGACTACGAAGGGGGAGACGAGCATGATGAGAATTTGTTGATGAAGAGGGACAACACGGATATTGAGTACCGAAAGGTGGTAGATGAAGATTCTAAGGCTGGCGTTGAGATGATTAGAAGTGGGCATATTAGTGATCCCAGCACTGGGAAGGCGGAGTTTTGTGCTTCTCCAATACTTAAGCGCTCGTGCTCTGACATTTTGATAAGGAATGTAAATTACGCGGTGGATGAACAAATGCCGCCTTTCAAATCCAAATCATTCGAGGAAATACAAAGATTAGCAGAAAAGTTCCAGGACGAAGTTCTAGATTATCCTGAGACTCCAGTTTCTGCTATGACACAATGTAGCGCAGACAAAGCAATGTTGAAGAAGCACTCTTCAAGCCAAATACTTCCATCCAGAAGTCGAAAATTGTGGTGGAAACTGTTCCTCTGGAGCCACAGGAACCTGCATAGAGACGGGACCACAAAACCACAGCCAATTGCAATCAAGCCCGCCCTCAACCAACAAGGTGGATACTGTTCAGACACCATAGAACCAAGAAAAGCAGAGAAATTTAGCAAGGAATGCAAGGGTAAAGACATCCTTAACATAGGTAACCAAAGCTGGGATGGATTTTATGGAGTTTCTGGCATGTGGCCTCAAAACCAGCGGGTTGCTTTTCCTACAGAATCATCTCCATTTGAAAGAATCGATTGGGTGAAAGAAATTTCTGTGCAGCCTCCATTCGTGGTCGACAGTGGTGATCACACTGAAGATGGCACTTTCTTCCCACCCTCTGCTAAGAATAGTAGATCACCAGCAAATCGGAATCCCGAGGAGATTATGTATGCCAACAGCATTATCCAGTCTCTGAATTCTTCATCGACTGTGGCACACATTACAGGCATTGGACTGAAAGTTATACCATCCATTTCACATTTGTCTAGCCTTCGATCAGTCAATATGTCTTCCAATTCCATAGGTGTGTATCACTCAGTTATTGCCCGTTCAAGTTCTAGCACAACGTCAGTTTTTGGATGTGAATGAATTATTTGATCGTTCAATATTCCCCCCTCAATTTGCAGGTCAGATAACTCCAGGATCTCTGCCAAAGGGTCTCCACATTCTTAAACTGTCCAAGAACAACATAAGCACAATCGAAGGTCTGAGAGAATTAACTCGACTCCGGGTGCTTGATCTCAGTTACAATCGAATTTCTCGAATTGGTCAAGGTATATATCTTTTGCAAGCCTTTCCATAGAATTACAGAAAACACTTTCAAAGAAAATATCATTCGATTAATATTTTCAGTGTTGCTAATAGAGCTTTTCTGGTGTAAACATATCAGGGTTGTCGAATTGTATGCTCATAAAAGAGCTCTATCTTGCTGGAAACAAAATAAGTAATGTTGAGGGTCTGCATAGACTTTTGAAGTTAACCGTCCTGGACTTGAGCTTCAACAAAATAACCACAACAAAAGCATTTGGTCAGCTTGTGGCAAACTGCGATTCTCTGGTTGCTCTAAATCTATTAGGCAATCCTGTTCACAACAATATCGGTGATGATCAATTGCGCAAGACCATATGCAGTCTTCTCCCAAAACTGGTTTTCCTCAGTAAGCAGCCTATAAATCCTAACAAGCTACGCGAGGTAGGCACGGAAGCCATTGCTAAAGCTGCACTTGGGAATAGCATTCGGAGCATCCGACGAAAAACAGTGAAGAGGGTCAGTCGAGGGGGTTCATCGTCCTCCACTCTGCACAGGAGCAGTGCAACTGCCGCTCGCCAGAGCAGGCATGGAGCAAAAATCCGTTCTAACCATCACTCTTCTTTGATGGAAAAGTCAGTTGTGTATTCTTCCCGTTAGAACTTACTGTTCTTGGAATACCAGCTTGAAAATCAGTGTCTTCTTGTAGGAGGAACAGGTTGCTTGCCTATTGAATTCTGAATTTATAATTATAAACCAGCAGTTCTGGATTAAGCATATGCCAATCAAAGTTTCCATTGACGGTCCATTCAAAAAGGATTGTCTTCTATTTCCCACTCTATTTGATGTCACTAGTTGCAATGATGTCACAACCATAAGCATTCAGTTCATTATGATGTTACCTGGAAGCTTTTAACAATATGACTATTGAATTCCCAGATCATAATTAGTTCTAACAAAATACTGCTATAAATACGTAAAGGAGATTCAAAATCCGGCCTTGATGCCATTATCAATAAGGAACGTTGCATTAAACACGAAATAATATTCAAAATGTATCTTATGGTAACAACCTTGAAAAATTGTCATTTTCAGAATGCATAATATCAACTTTGGTACATCTTAGTTCCCAGCATTAAAATAGCTATTGGAGGGTAGCTAGGTAGAGGCATTGCAGAAAGGAAATTGATAACTATGGAAAATGACATTGTTTGAAGAAAAAGGATATATTATATGCTTCAAGTTTGCAGCAGGTAAAACAGGTCTTACAAATGTCTACCAACTCTAGAAATAACGGACGACACTACAATAGAGTGAATCGAAGAACAGAGTAAGACACAAGAAGCTTGTTACAATAATTTCCCAGCAATTCTATTCCTTTAACACGAGAGTCACGAGAGTAACAACAGATTCTCACTCAATTAACAGCAAAACATGATAATTAACTCCAAGATCCTTAATATTACCTCGTATTGTTAGTATATACTAAATATTGTCTTGTCATCAATCTCTATCTCCCGGACGCTATGCAAAATCTGTTTCCAAATTCACTCTCCGAGATATTAGAATCCAACGATACTCAAACCTCAAAATACCCTCATTTCTTACTGATATAACTCTCAGATTCCAGTTCTTGCATCTCTGCATACATATAAAGCTTCTCATTGAATTCAATCTGTGGATCTTTGTTGATCAGCACTCCGTCTTCCCCATAAGCATCCTTCAAAAATACACACCAATTCATCTCAGTACCAGCCAAGTAAAAAGTCCAAGGCTGCTTCAAAAGCATCTGATAAGTATGTTTTGTGAGACATAACTCATCCTTGAACTCAACAATGTTATGTATGTAAGCTCTCTTCTCCAACGTCAAGCTCAAGAACTCGTGAATCACTCCCACCCTATACTTTTCCGCTTCTAACGTCCACAAATCCAACTTGCTCCCATCCGAATAAGGCGATACCAAAGGCAATGTGTTTAACATATTCAACTTCCTCTCACCCTCCACATCTAACTCCAATTCTTTACCGTGCTTCATAGGAAATTTAAAGGCTTTTTTCACCTTATCCTCATCAACCAAAAATTCCTTCTCCAATGCACTCATCGCCAATGTCGGATCCCAGTTCACGAGCTCGAGCACTCTCTTCCCATCCTCCTCGACAACTACTCGAAAATAATTCGGGTACTTTGCTACCCTGTCTCTAAAATCCTCCGGGATCCCAAACAAGAGCCTGTTATGGTAAATTTTACTCAAAGGTATCCTCTTATTCACAGACATCATCAATAATTTCCTCACAACATCAACTCTTTCTCGCTCCAACTCATTCATAATCCCCTGTTCCTCGCGCAGCAACTCATCCATGAAATCAGTAAACCCGAACCACATTTTATTATCCGTATGCCGGTAGGTTTGGAAAATTAAGGGGTGGCGCTGTATCGACCTGATAACTTTCCGGCCGCGGGGAAAGCCGAGCTGCTGGTGGAGTTTGCCGGCTTCGTCAAGGAGTAGGACTTGTTGCGGTTGTTTAGAGAGGAACTCCTTAGCTTTGGTGAGGAATCTGAAGTGGGCATCTCTGAGAAGGATGTTTTCGAAGTGGCGTACAAGATTTGGTTGGGTTTGGACCAGGTTCGTGCGAGGGCTATCCTTTTTCTTGCGTTTCTTCTTGAATTTCTTAGGGGTTTTGGTAATCAGAAAGGATGTCGAGAAGTGGGAGGAGGAGGAAAAAATGTGGGGTTTGCTGGAGTTCAGGATAGTAGTGGCGGTTTTGTGCAGAAGGTGCAGAAGCGCCATCGCCGGTGGCGCTCGCGGTGGTATTGATCTGGCAGAATCCGTGAAATGAGGGGGAGGTTTAGGGATTAAGTAAAGCGGCATCAGTAAAAGTAAGATTTTATGAAATATATGATTGATAAATTGAGTACTTTTGTGAATAAAATTAAAATTATTGATTTTTTAGTTAAATTAAAATTTAGATTTTTACTGCATACCAAACCAAGGTAAGAGTAAGTTAGGGGTGTAAACGAGCCGAGTCGGCTCTCGAGCCGAAACTTTCTGCTCGTGCTCGGCTCGAGCTTTTTCAACACGGGTTTTTTTTTGTCCGAGCCGAGCCGGCTCGACTCAAAAAAAATAAAGCTCGAGCCAAGCCGGGTCGTGTTTTGGTGTTTTTTTTTTTTTTCTCGTAATTGCTGCCAACAGGCAGCTTTATAATTAAAGCCGCCGAACTGTCTAGCTGCCGAACTGCCAGTTCGGCAGCAGATTAGCCTTTATTTTTATTTTTTTTATTTTTTGTTTTAAATTAAACGGGCCGGTCCGGGCTCGGGCAATTGCCCCCTTTTGGGCTCGGTTCGAGCTTTGGCTCTGTTGGTCCGAGCCACGAGCCGAGCAACGGACCGCCCGAGCCACCGAACTTTTTTGACATCCCTAGAGTAAGTTACACAATTGTCCTTAACCTTTTAGAAAAGTAGCAGACGTATCCTCAATGTTCATTTGTCAGGTGTTTAACCCAAACTTTTAATAAATTATTAAACTTAACCCTTATACCATCCAAAATAGCCTCACAGTCATCAGTTGACTTGCTCATGACTGTTAAAGAAGATAAATTTAGGGGGATGTATTCAATTAGGACTTTTGAAAATTTTGATGGACTTTTTTTAAGTGATTACTTTTGTGGATTTCGTGGATCTTTTATATATTTGTATAGATTAGTGAAAGTTTTTCGTAAACTTCTATAGATTTTCATTTTAAAACTTAAATAGACTTTCGTGGAATTCAAAAAACTTTTGAAAACTTTCATTTGAAATAGAATTTACGTAGATCTGATGTGAAATTCTCACATATAGGGTGTTAGTTCCCACAATTCCCCTTTTTCTTCCTATATAATAAAAAAAAATTGAAAAAATAAATAAATTTAAGACCTTAATTAAATAAATAATAATCAAAATTATATATGATTCAATATTATTAGTATAGTAACTTTCAAAAATAAATAAAAATTAATATATTTAAATTTAATTATAATTTTTCATATAAACTTTTATAATTTAATTAAAAAATCGATATTTTCACAAAAAAATGAATGAAAAAAGAAAAAAAAGTTTCAAGAATCTAATTTAATTTTTCATAAAAAATAGAGATAAATAATAAGAGAGATAGAGAAAGAAAGATAAATGATATATAATCAATTAAAAAAATAAAATTTAATCATGCATGTCCATAGAATGTTAAAGAAAAGAAAATTTGATTTTTGATTTTTGATTTTTTTTTGGTGATTGGTCCCTTTTTTTAATTCCTTCTCTTTTTTAAGAGGCAAGAAGACATAAATTAGTAGGGATGAAATGAAAGTAAAAGACATAACAATTAAGGGAGAGATTATAAAAATACAAGAAAAATTAGAGTACATCATCGAGTTTGTGGAATTCGGATTCCTAATTATTAATGTTAAATTAAATTCTGGATTTCTTACTTTCTTTTGAATTTTTATACTCAATGCATTTCCTTGACAAATTTAGGAAGGGATTTCAAATTTGAAATTGATGGAGAGATAGACACATATGACATATCATACCAAATTAGATAAAGGAAAAAAAAATAATTTCATTTCAGATATTCTAAAGCTTGATTGGTCTTCTTTTTTTTATTCCTTCTCTTTTTCGAAGAAAAAGGTTAAGATGGCAAGAAGATAGGAATAAGAAGGGATGAAATGAAAGTAAAAGACAAAATAATTAAATAAGATTATACATCACGGAATAATAAAAATACAATAGGTTGGGCTAGGTTTCGCCTAAGCCGAATCTTCAAACCCAAGTTTTCTTTATTTTTGTTATGATTTTTCTCTCCATTTTATCTGTAGCTCTCTCTCTCTCTCTCTCTCTCTTCTTTTTCTTTTCCTCCCCATGGTACAACCCCCTTTTTATGACTTAAAACAATTTTTATTTATATTGGTCAAAGAATTTTGAGAGTTGTGATTAAGAAAGAGTCAAAATTGATGACGAAAACTCAAAAATAAAAATAAAAGTAAAAATAGCAAATGGGGTTGAACCGGGTTGGACCTTGCAAACTGTGCCAAATAGAGTTCTGGATGAACTGCAATTAATTGCTGTCTAGGCTGAGCCTCTATTTACTGTAGTTGTTACTGTTGTACGTGCATGTGTTTCTTTCGCTTATCTACGTTGTAAGTAAAGAATTAAGTTGTTACTATCGTACCTCTATTATATTATGTTAAGATATATTAAATTTCGTGAACTATGATCTTTTTAGGTCATGAAATATTGTACTCCAATAATTAAAAGCATCTTCTAATAGAAATTGGAATTTTGTACTTCATTCTTATCGTATGGGTTGATCTAATGAGGTTAAAGGTTGCATATAGCTCTTTATTTATGAGCTGTACTAGATACAGTGACGGATTCAAAAATGTTGGTGAGTTAGGATGTCCATTAATCATTGAATGTTGACCATTACGGTTGCAATGATGACATCGTTTATTAATATTTAATTAAATAATATAACAAATTCTTCAATCAGTATATAAATGCACTAAAACTTAAAAATTATATGAGTTTT